CCCGCCCCTTTGAGTTGTCATTTAAATATCATCCCGTTGGGGTTTATGCATTTATGCCTTCTTTGTGCATCCCTGGAATTATTTTTCAATGAACAAAATTAGTTGGATCAGAAAGTATTTCACCTACTACCTTCTGAAGTTGTGGTGACTCGTCTACTCTTTATATACCACTGTTTGGAGGTAGTAAGCTGATTACCATCTGGTGACGTGCCATCAAGAAGACTTCATCTTAGTTGTTAAGACTAACTCGCGAGTAGCTTGAATTCTTCTCAATGTCTCAAAATGTGGAGGTTTTTCCGTCCAACCCTGAGTCCCATTTTTCTAAAGCCAACTCATTATTTTCGAAACCGTAAATTCCTGTCTAGCTACAATGCGGAAAACCTGAAATTATAGCCATTTCCAACCTAGATAAAGGACATGCGAAAAGAGTTTCCCCTGCAGTATATAGTATATCCCGCGAGTTTGCCCTAGGTGGGCGCAGAATTTATCACCCATCTGGAAGTTAAGACATGTGATTGTAACCCACGTTAGTCATAGAACAAACACTCGACACCACACCCACCCCGCCCCTCCCCCCGCCGTCTGTTATTGATCACACCCTTTCGCGCTTCCCTTTTCTCTTCTCCTGGAGAAAGTGATTAGTCAATCCTCCTACTTGGTGTGGAATTGTTCCAACTTTCTCCCCCAAAATTCTCGATAATGTAATTATATTGGTGCACCAATTTAGCCGTCTTCCTCTCTGTCCCTCTTTCTGGGCGCATTTCTATCTCTCTTCTCGCAACCCAGCAGTATTGTAGTGGAGAAGAGGAGAAGAAAAGGGAGGTAGCTACAACCCTCTTTTATGTCCTTGGGACACTTACTCATCAGGCAATGGCGCGCGCGTTATTGTAGTGGTTGTGTATCCCTTTCTGTATGCCTAATTCCTCCCCCCCTAATATATGCATGCCAAAAACCCGTTAATTGTGAGAAATGTCTTTGCGTTGTTTACAGAGTCTCCATTCTAGTGGGGAAGCTGTAAATGTATTCGCTTTGGAAAGTAGGAATCGATTATTAAATTATTGGATATAAGAGCTGCAAACACCGTGAATTGATTGCCAATGCGAAGGGAAGAAGAATGGAGGTTGGAAGTACCGAATCGGAACTTGAATAATTTCTTTTTATTGTTGATTGTAGAAAAGATGGGAAGTGACAGTTTAGTTTGTGGCAACTGGTGTTGAATTCTACTAATTAAGCAACAAATAAATGTTCGTTCCCAAACTATTAAATGGAGTATATAAGTCCATGTAGGGTCAAACAGTTCCCGGTTTTGTCAAATGCACCAACTTGTCATAGGTCATTAATGTATGTAGTATTATTAGGTATATCGATCTTGTCCTCTCATAAAATTTGGATGGCAGATAGATAATGGGTTTTTTTTCTACAAATTAATGATAAAAAAGAATAATGGCGGCCATATTAGGTACCTCTGTAAACATGTCTGTATTTTGTGTTCTATCTCTCCCTATTCTTCCTCCTGACTTAGACTTAATGGTAGAAGAATTGGTTGTGGGTACGCAGAGATAACGTGAATCCACTAGGCGCTATTCTGGGTCGACCAGTGGTTTATTTGATTATTGCAAGAGGTATTATGGCGAGTAAAAAAATATCTCTCAAGTAAGCCTCATACAATTTATGAAACAGGAAAATCAACGTGTATTAACATCTCTATTTCAGATTAATGACTTCCAGTAAGGAATCTAACTGGCGGGTCCAAAGGAGCCTTGACCTTAAGTTTAAAGCAGTCGGCCTGGTGGGATTCCAGACTTCATATGATTTGTGTGGCACTTGGAATCCCACAGCTTTTCCGATTTCTACCCTCAATACCTCCCATTCATCTCTGTTTGAACTATCGCTTCCCATTTCTTTCACGCTTTCGATGACTGACAGCGGGTTCACTGCACACAGCAAAGTCGGTTACCTTTCACTAAAATAACCATACAGCTTTGGATGACTCCTATATATATTAGCCGACCCAAAAAATTTGAGCTACTATCCACATTTTAAGTCCATTTTTCCTAAGTCTTCACAACTATGACTTACTCTGTAGAGATGTCTACTTCTACCACTGTATAGAATGCAGAAGAAGAATATGTAGAAACCTCCCAGAATCAATTCACTGCACAAATTGAACATTGTGAGTTGAAATTGCGATTAAGACTAATTTGGTTCTGATTCACTCTTTTTTGTCGTAGTTGAAATTGACTTTATTTAGAGTTTGAAAAAAAGTCACCTTGTGTGAATATTTCTATGTTGACTTTCTTAGAATTGGTTGCGCATGAATATTCTATTCGTAGACACTCTCGTTTCTTCCACTCCAATCTAAATATTTTTTCTAAGTTGGTTCACATTGGTTGCAAATATTTGATCCACCTGACCTTAATCCGAGTATGAGTCGTCATGGAAACAATAAATAAGTGTTGGGATTTTTTCGCAGGCAACTCGATTACTTTATTTTCTGTAGAAATTTAATCAGGTAAAACCGATAACCACCTAGAATGCAGCTCAAGGTGCATTCTAGCTGTTTTTCCTATTCATTTCCTGGGGGAAATCTCTCTTTGTTGTTGTTCAATCTTTGATGTATGCACAATTCATTTTCATATACACTTTGCTCTATCGATGTTTATTGAATATGTTCACAATGTTAACTCATTTCTTATAATAACGTTTTAGCCGTTGCTCAAGAATTGGCTACGCAGCCCAACCCTCAGCCTAATTTTGATCCTACTATGCATTTCACTGGTGCCGGTGCGGTCATGAATCCTGTTCTCTCTCCTAATTGTAATCCTGGTAGCATGGGAAGTGGAGTGGAAGCTATGGTGTCCTCCATGGCCTCTCGAATGGCTCCAGTATTGCCAACATCAACAGCTTCAACCCAGCGTCATGCTCAGCATGTCGGTGGTGGAGCAGAACGTGGGCGTCTTTTAGCTCCCTCTTGTTCCTCGTCCGCTTCTGAATCCTCTTCTCCAACTCCCTCTTCCTCCTCTTCTCCCTCCTCTCCAGGTCGTGATGCTGATGCTGCCGGGGAAACTGATGGACAAGATGGAGATGATGAAGGAGAGGGCGAAATTCTGAGGAGCAAATCACCTGCCTTTAAAAGTAAGGGTTGAATTAAATCTATGCTGCATACTTTTACTAACGGTAGTAGAACTGTTTGACTTCAATTAGCCCCTATTCGTGTCTAAAAACTATTACTTTGGCCAATGAATACATAAGAAAAGATGTTGAGCTCATTCTTCCTAGACTAAGTATATATATGCTTATGAGCAAATTCTCACTTTCAGTTGACTTCGTCTGAAGCTAATATTGCACGCTTCACTTAAATGATTTAAGTAGAATGAAAATTTACATTTCATTTTTACCTTCTATCAGGTGGAATGCACTCTACGGGTAGTTGGAGCACAAGCCGAACAACTCCTACCGATGGGTGCTTCTATCAAGAAGATTATATCGTAAATGGCGCTCTTGGTCGCGTTGCTCCAGCCTCTGATTTACCACTTTCAGCCAATATCTCCAGCATCACTCGTGATAGTCAATTATCTGCTCCAGCATCCCTTCCACCGCAGCACCACATCAGGCAACAACTCCCCCAGCCTTCTTCACGTCATAGAAACAGTGCAGTTAATGGTCATCACCATCACCACAACCGCCATTATCATCAACAGCAGCAAGAACAATCCATGCGAGTTATTGGCTCACCAAGTGGCGGAAGAAATGTGCCTAGACGTCGCAGTGGTGGACCTAACAACAAACACTTTGGTGAGTAAATAATGCCTTTCTTATTTGTATGATTTAAGTGAGTTATCTTTACAAATTTTATCATGTAGATGATAAGGAATGTGTCCTTTTCAACAGAAAATTTGTGCAAACTTTAACCAACTGGGCATTTCGCATCTCTGAGGATGTGTGGTGCCGTCAACCATTGTTTCAAATTTTTGTGGTTGTATTTTGACTTAGTTATTTGGAACTACCTTGTCAACTACATGTATATGAATACACAACTGATTACGCGATGTGTTCATTTACGCGAAAATCCCAAGAACGAAACCAAACCTGAAGTAAGGAGGCTGTCATATCATACATTTAGGGTGTTAACGTTCTTCTCTTTGGTTTTTTCCTTTGTTCCTGCTTTGTTAATTTCATTTTAAGGGTCATTTTAGCTCTGCAGTTGTTGTGGTTTGTTTCTGTTACTTCCAACTTTCTATATTTCATAGAACAAACTTACATTTTGAGGTGTCATAAGAAAGCTCATATCTGACCGAAGGTAATTGCACAACTTGCTGTATAAGTCAATTTATTTAACTTTTTTGTTCGAAGCACTCTTCGCATCATCATCATCATCGTCTACGAGGTTGAAATCTTTGCATTTCTAATTTCATTCTTTTCCAGCACATGTCTCTGAAATAAGCAAGAAGTGGATTAACTAATTTACTCCTAGCAGAGAAGGACAGTGAATAACTACTGCGTAAAATTTAAGCGGCGTCCTTACCAATTCAGCCTTTTCAATGCCTCCTTCTTTTCATTTCGGTTTTATTTAAAATTCTAAAGCAAATCCTGCTTTGAATTTATTAACCTTTAATTTGAGTTGATACTTTTTAATATCATTCACAGTGGGTATTTCGACATGTGTGTGTCCTCGTTTTCAACTGCTTTTGCGCTTAAGTATTCACTTATGTCAAGTATCTATTTATATCAAATGGCAGGCTTTTTAATAGTCTATCATTCGTCCTTTAGCTGACTTCGGAGGAAAATCAAAGTCACAAAGGTGGCGTGGGGGAACAGAAGAGTGATTCGCAGGTGTAAAAGAGATAAATAGGAAGGTGGAGAAAAAGGTAAGGTGAATACTGTGGAGGTGGTCGACTGCCAGTTTATAGACTTTTTTTGCGGTATTCCACACGTTGTCCGGGGTGCAGCACGTGGAAGCAAGTATCACACACCCCCACTTGCCGTGTGTCCTTGTGGTTTCCCTTAGCTAGTCCTCATGGTGTTAGCACACTTACATTGTTACCATTTCTCATACATTGTGATTGAAAAGTCAGTTTTATTAATTTGGCTGAAATAAGTTCTCTTTCTTCACTATTGCTTTAAAGGTCCGTAAAAAAATCAAGGTATTATTTCAAATGGCAGGCTTTATGATATATTTTTCATTAGCCCTTAAACTTTGACTTCAGCTTCCCCCCACGGGTGGTGGGAACATATAAATCAGTTAATTAATAGCAGTTCATTAGCTGTCTTCTTGCTTTCCAGTATCTCTGGGTTTCCGTCGTTGTCTTTAGGGTTAGACACCGAATCAGGTGAGTCAACTCCATTTCCTTCTGTAGGTTAAATAGGGGGCATGTGGGTTGAGTGCATACTCCCAATTTGTGAAGATGTTTTGCCAGGCCATCGTGTCCGGTACGTAGTCTAAATTCAGCAACGGCTTCGATTCTTGCCTAGTGGGCTATGTCGGAGAGTGCCACTGTTCACTATTTCTCCTTCGTTCGAGCTTTAAGTTCGTTGCACCTTGAGGTCTTGAATTCTCTCCTGATTGAGGCCTTCATTGTGTGGAAATACATCGGTCGGTCCATGCATCGCAAAATCGTTGTCTCATTCTTAGCAAGTGCGTC